GGGATGCAACAACTGCTTCACCATATAAATTCTTCCAAGGAATCTTCAGAGTAAGCTTATCTAAAAACAAGATATCCTCTATTAAGGTTTCATTTGTTCTGCTAATGCATTAAATAAGCAGCAAGCAGAGACCAACTATACCAGCCTCTAGCTTCTGTCTGTAAGAATAATATTCAAATGCACCTTATTGCTTATTCCATGATTTGTACTTAGTTTGTGCCTGGAAACAAACCAACAATAGTAAAACTTTTGCATCCCTGATTGAAGCTAAGTCTACAAAGCTGGTTTTGGCAAATGGATGGCTGTTGAGTGTTGGCTAGCTTCAATCTCCATATATTTTTCAAGTGCAAGCCCAGAGGATGCACAGAACTACCTAAAAACCAGAGTAAAGAACTTACCTATCTGACCAGCCTTTACTCTAAATGGTACGTCCAATTCACTCTAATCAAGAAAAAAGAAGACACTTTTTTATTATTGACCCATAGCAAAAGATACTGGTCAGATCAGGCAGGCTATGTCACTTCAAGCTGCCTTATTATATGGCAATAGATGGTTTGCAATCCCTTGGTAAGAAAAGACAGCCCTTGGGTTGGGATACTTAATTTCCCTCCCTATTCATGCAAGAGTGGAAACATATTTCAGAGAGGCAACTGGGGTGTGGTGGACAAAGGGGGGGGGATGACTCACATAGTTTTTTGTGAGAACGAACTAAATGTTCCATAAATCTGCTCCCAACTGTTACTAGTCTTGTTACAGATGAGAGATCAATTAGGCCAAATGAGGATGAAAGGGGGGGGGCGATTTTCAACATGCCTGCTCTAACATGGAGCCCCTCTTGGGAGGGATTTGCTCTGGCTTGGCCTTTCATCGTTTCCGGACTATTTGGGGCATCTCTTTAACACTACAAAACCCACAGCATGATACCCAAAGCAGCCCACTGCTGAAATCCAGGATTCTTAAACTAATCAAAACTGCATTAACTACACTTATTAATATAATATTAGAATAGCCCAAAGCATATATTTTGGTAGAGAGTAGTTCCCTGAGGATGGGCTCCAGCATAAGTCCAAAAGCTCAGAAGACTAAACCTCTGCTTCAGATTAGATCTAATACTTATCAAGTTTGTAAATCATAGAGTGGATCCATGGATGAGGTGATGAAAATAACTTCCGGGTTGCCAATAGCTTCCAGGTTACTTACCAGAGCATTTTCCTTGATTAAAAGGTTATCAAGTGCCACATTGCCTATAGAAGAGAAAAAGATATCTATGAGCCACATTCCAGCCACATCTACCTAATCACAAAAGCTGATGTTTTACACAGTCACAGTGACAACATCCACAAATAAAAGCAAGACTTTTTTAAAAAATGTCAGGGGAAGGGAATTACCTCCCCAACTAAGTACTGAGCATATTTAGTGGCTATGGAATATTGGCTTATTTATGCATTTGTCAATATTTGTAGCCTGCTGTCTTCTTGTCAGTCTTAGGGAACAACATAAAAACTAAAACACTAAAACAATTATTAAAAAAATGATTGCAACAGAAAATTAAAAGGGGAATAAAATAGGCAGTGCTGGAACGCAACATCTGATTTCCAGCCTTGTTCATTCTTATTATAAAACTATGAAAGGAATTAGTTCTGCAGTATAAGAAAAGAACTTTCTCAGGTTAATTTCAACAACAGCAACACTAGTAAAATTTGGAAGGTGCCATAAGTGAGCAGTAACAAGCCAATCATTGACCCAGAGGAAAAACAAAGTTAACATTAATCAGTTGCTAAGTTTTTAATCTATTAGAGAAAATGCAGACACATCTGCGAAAAGAAAGTTACCTAGAGCCTGAATAGAATCTTTCTACACACATTGAGAACTTCCCTAATCTGAGCAGGAAATAAACACCAGAGCTTTACTGTGAAAGACTAAATATTACTTATTGTAATATTTGACTTAGGACCAATCTCTAGAAATGCGCTTTGCTACAATTTCCTACTGTTCCCAGCATGAGTTTTAAAGCAAAAAAGCAGCAGTGCAATTTTAAAGCTTAGTTGCAAGTTAGACACAAGCTTAGTTGTGTCAAACATCTTGCAACCAACCTGCTGCATATTTGAAATACTTTCTTTCTCTGCTTGAAGATCCAGGAGCCAAAACAGAAGGCCCATTTCATGAACTTTTCCATTTTATGAAATACACCTCGTTCTGACAACCTGAATCAGAAGATACATACAGCTCTCCCCAAATCAGTTATCTGTAACCAGAGGAGGACCTGCAGCTTTTTATGAGTCTTGGTGAGGAGAGAAGCCATGCCACAGTTGCAAGGTTAAATCATGGCTACAGCCACAAAGAGCAGAGAGAACTATCAGCTACTTATCTTGATTAAACACAAGATAAACTGTTTTGGGAAAACATATGTGCTGATCCAGCATAATAAAAGCTAGGGAAGCTACTAATAAAGGGCAAACTCTGCAGCACTCAGTCCTTGCGCTGAACATGTCCTTAACTCTTATCGCAAACCCACAGGAAGAATTAAGAGGACGTCTCATTCCTGAAAAACTGCCATTTTGTAACAAACATATCCTATCTTTTTAATACCATTTTCTAACCAATGGCAAATAGATTTTAAAAGCAAAAGCAAAACAGCTCTACAAAAAGCCTTGAGCCAATCTTGATAGGGAGCCTGAAAGAATCCATTGTGATTTCAAACATGTGAGCGAGCCCCCCCCCACCCATTTCACAACTCTGCTACCATATCTGGTGGCTCTAGATCTCATGATCTGCAAACTTGTTGCAATCAAAGAATACACACAGTTGTTGTTAGTTGCCACAGGCCAGATTATTTTCAAGGCTACCCTCAATTCTTTCTTGCCCTTTCCTGCCCCTCCCCTTGCCTTGCTTCAACCCAATTCATGTTTCAATCCAACCCAGAAAGTAAATAAACTTTTTGCAAAATTGACTCCACAAAATCAAGAAGCGTTTTGATAAGAAACTCAGATTATATGTAATCTGAGGAAACTTTAAGAGACTTTTTTTTTCAGAAGTCCATTTTTAAAAGAGGAAATAGAACTGAGAGTTAACCAGGGGTGCATGGCCCATTTTTCAGAAGTGATGTCAATATGTAGAACAGAAATCCAGCACTCCAGTTGGAGACTTTCCAACGCAAACAATCACAAAACAAAAGTGCGGTTTGTGGAGGAAAAGTTTCCAATTATATCACCACTGGAAAAACTGGATTATCCAGTCATTGAAAAATCTTGACCAAAGCAACAACTTCAGTTTTAGTTCTGCAAGAGTCTTCCTCCTAAAGTGCTTCTGACTAACACAAATGACATTAAGATGTTCTTTCTTTTTTAGTCAAATTCAAATGTCATGATAACATTCTTTTAACTTTTAAGCCAGGGTGGTTAGAAGAACTCCAGCCTGAGAGCTAAAGCACCGTCAAGCCTTCTTACCTAGCACACAACTAAAAACACAAACCAAGGAAAAAGGGCCAAGTTTTGAGAACAGGAATTAGAACTAGGGCCCAGGAGATAATCTACTCTTGTGCTATATTTACTGTTATTGCTCGACCCTGAGAAATTCGAGCAGGAGGAACTCAGCTTTTGGGCAAAGTTGACTTGCCACCAAAACACAAACGGCCAGACCGGCCTCCAGCAAAGGAAACCAGGTTGCGCAGAGTCCGCAGCAAAGAGTCACTGGAGTTTGTTGCGGCTTCAGGCACCGAAGCAACTCTTGACAGTCAGATGCGGGTCCAGTGACTCAGGGCGGGTTTATTGTCTGCTTTGGTGTTTATTCCCCCCCCCAGTTCTGCACCCCCCCCAGACTCGGCTGAGGTTGGGGTGGGGGCGATGCATTGCAATGAATGCAAATAACGGGGGGCCTGCGGAGCGTCTTCCCCCTCAGCGACCCCTTTCTTCGGAGGGGCAGCGTTTCCCAAGGGCGGTTTGGAAGAGAAGGGCCGGCCTGGGGGAAGGGGCTGCCTTGGGAGGTCCCGGCTCCCGACCTGCGAGGCCCCTCGGCCGGGCTCAGCCCGACCCCCCCCCGGGACCCTGGCCAGGCCGCAGCGGGGGAGGGCAGGGCGGGAGAGGGGGCCCCCGGCGCCGCTTACCCCCCCAGATGCCCAGCTTGAGCTGGGACTTGTTCAGGTTCTCCACGTAGCGGCCCAGGAAGCGGTTCAGCAGGTCGGCCACCACAGATTCCAGCACCATGACGGCAGCGGCGGCGGCGGCGGGCCTTCCTCGCAGGGCGGGAGGGAAAGGCCAGCTGGGCGCGCGCCCGAGGAGGCTGAGGGAGGAGCACGCCCGCCACGCCACTCCGCCCACCGCCGGCGGCGGCGGCGGCGGCAATCCCGCGCATGCGTGCTCGGGCCAAGTGACCAGCTTTCCCTCCTTTGCCCGCCCGCGCTCTCGAGGCTCACCCGCTGAGGGGATCCGCCCACTGGGTGTGGCCTGGCTGTCAAGCCCCACCCCCGCGGCCCCCTATTCGATCGCCCTGATTGGCTGGGCTCGCACGCGGCGCCCGGGAAGGGGTTCCGTTAGCTGGCGTGGAACACGCGTCGTGTGAATGCGGCGGTTTGGACGTGCTGACTCCATCCTGCGTCTAAACTGAGGCTGCAACTCTCAACGGAGTTGGGAACCCGGAACATTAGGGGGCAGCGAGCCAGCCGTCCCTGGCCACGGCCAAGCTGCCTCGGAAAGAGCCCAGGAGGCCCGAGGCGGGGATGGCGGCCCGAGGAAGCAGCCTGGCACGCCTGAAAAAAGGCGACGGTAAAGAAGATCAAGAAGGGAGCCCGACCCGCAAGGCGCAGCGTTCCGACGTGCAGGGCTGCCTCCAGCAGCCGCAGCAGAAGCCAAAGCAGCCCGGCCCTCCCTGATCCGGCTGGGTCCTGGCCCCCCTGGCCGGCCTTTCTGGGCAAACCGGCATGGCACGACACCCTCCCCCCCCCGGCCAAGGAAGCCGCCCCTTTCCCCAGACCCCGCCAACCTGCGTCCTCCCCGCCTGGAAGGGCTCTCACGTGGCCCTTGGGCGCCAGGGGCATTCGGAGCCTGGCGTAAAGCTCCGACGGCGAACGGGGCGGAGGCCCCGCTGTGGACACGGAGGAAAACCCATTGACGTCCTCGAGCTATTTTTACCTCAGCCGCTTTGTTTTCAAACACAGCCAGAAAGGGTGGCTTGAATAGCATGCAGGCAGCTGGCGTGTCAGCGTGTTTGGAGATTACACACGTGCGGAGATAAAATAATATTTCAAACGAACATGCCACCGCACTCCCGGTGACTCTGGGTGGGATCTGCCCTTAGGAGAAGTTCAAGGAAAAAAGAGAAGAACTTGGACTTGCTCTGCAAAAATTTGGACCCAAAGTTTGGGGTCCTGCATTGATCCTGGGTAGCACACTCATCCCTGGTCCCCCCAGAGGAGGAATTGTTCCGTGACACTTGTGAATGAGTCCATCTACCAAACATTCTTGTTTAGTGTCATCATGTCATTCGCACCTTGGGCCAGACCAGAGTTTGCATAATCAGTGCTGAACAAACCGCCATTGGTGCTGCCCTTCCCAAAGAGCTGATTTTTGCAGCAAATATGTACAAATGAACTTCAAACCAAGAGAGAGAGAGAGAGAGAGACTAGTTTAAAAAGCAAAGTGTCTTTGTATCCCAAAGTTGAAGAAGCTGCATGATGGCCAAACATCTCATCTGAATCCAGCCCACCAGTCTAAGAGTTTTTAACGTGCTCCTAAATACCTGCTCTCCTGGGATGTTTGGTTCAAGAAATCACATGTTTTGGAGCAATTATAAATATTTAGAATAATCACCTAGACTTGTATGCCCATCAAGATACATGGAAATCCTAATCATGCTGTTTCTCAAAAATGAAACCTTTCTGTTGAAAAAATTTGAACTTTCTGCTCTGAAAATCACAAGGAAATGGAACAAATACAATCCCATTTTTAAGGGATGATTCTACTATGGACAAGATGGACCTTCTATTTCTAAAGGCTGAATTTTTGCAGATTTTCTTTCCCTGTCCTTGCTGATGACACTCGAGAACGTTCTGTTTGTCTTCCTTTCTCTGCTGCGCCTGAATGGTGAGTTACCTGGCTTTATCAGTGGCACATGCAGTCAGTCTGTTCGTCCACAGCACGGCACGTGGCATTGCATTCCTGTGTGCTACGCTGAGTTGAACATATTGTTTGCTTGTTTCCAGAAAACATATTGTTTGCTTGTTTCAGAAACTCAGGAAAAAATGATGTGGCAATTGCTCAAACGGAGATGAGTGGATATATGTTTTTATGCCTGCTGATCTGATGCTTGGAAGACTCTTTTTCCCGGGACTTCCTGAGCTCTTTTCCAGAGGTAATAGCAATAGCACTTAGACTTATATACCGCTTCACAGTGCTTTACTGCCCTCCCTAAGTGATTTACAGAGTGAACATCTTGCTCATAAATAGAATTACCTGTTTGAAAGAAATATAAAGTGCATCACTTGATGCCTTTTGGCAAAGCTGATCTATTATTGCTCCATTAAATTATGGACTGGTTGGCTCTGGAACCAAATGTTGCAGTTTATACCCTTCCCCCAGAGACAGATGGAAATTGGTGTAATGTGTGAACACAGCCACTGTAGTTTATAAACCGTGATTTATGCTTTACCACATTGAGTGGTTTATTTAGCAAGGTATGGAAGAACTTCAGTCTTGCATGAAGGATAAAGTATTTCAAATCAGACTACTATTTATTTGTTACATTCATCATGTTTCTCCTAAACAATTACTTTTGTCTGTATAAATGTTCTGGATAGAAATATTGAGTATGAAAACTTCAAAAGGTTTTTTGTGTGTGTTTACTCTTTTTCTTTGTTTCCGTTTGGCTCTCAGCTCATATTTCTTTCTGTCCTAGTTTTTGCTCTTGTTTTGTTTCTCTAATGGAAAAACAAATGCACACACAATAGACTGCAGGGACCTCCGAATCCATCCCCTAAGTTGGAAGGACCGTCTGGGCTTTGGGTACAATTCCCTGTCCAGGGGAGAAGGTCCCAGGGGGTGGCCACAGAATGCCAGCCATGTTCCGGCTGCAGCTTCTAGCAGCAACCAAGTCCACAACCACCTCCTGGGATCCAGGGGGAATCCCATGACAGTTGCAAGAGCTTCCCCAAAAATAATGGTAGTGCTGCCTCCAGAGGAACAGAAGCTTTTAATCCTCTTCTCTTCTGCTCCCTACCTTTGTTTCCTATCCTGTGACCTTCCCTCTTCCGCTGTTCTGTTCCTCTCCCAAAGGCCCACTTGCAGGCTCACAGAGGCCTGCCCAAAGCCACCTTATGAAAGGGCAGCTCCTTTATCCAATCTCTGCCTTCCATCTCCATTCATTTTCAGCAGCCTTTCACAGGGCCAGAGGATCCCAGTCCTGCTAATGGAGATGCAAAAGGTCACTCCTGGCTGGCCGTGGAACAGCGGCTCCATCTGTTCACCGTTCAGTGGCAGGAATCACTTTGGCTTTCAAAGACGGGAAACATCTGTTTAAACATGCATGTTTTGAAGGGCCGCCCTATATGGTAAACATCACTTAGGGGAAAAACACTCACAGGGCAGGGTTGGGGGTAAGAAGCAGCAGCTCTCCAGCTTTTCCCTCCGAATCACGGATGAGAGCTGCACAGCCAAACACCCGGATGGTCCATTTGAAGCTGATTAAACCCAGGAAAAATGGCCTCTGATTGCCTCTTCCCACCTGTAAAATGGCTAAGGGGCTTTTTATTTCAGGCTAATGCAGCTATCTTTACAACACCAAGACAAATAAATTGTGGGAAATGAGCTTCCCTGCCAGAAACAAGCTTGTCAACAAATCTTTCAATTAAATGGCTAATTAAAACAGGGTTAAGTATCACTAAATGATTATCATTTGGTGTCAGTGTTGAACGATAGATTAGGCCTGGTTCACATAATGTACTCATTATAAGGTGATTTTTTTTTTCTGAAATGAACTTTGACACAGTGGTTTATAAACTATAAAGATATAGTTTGTGTCTTTATTTTCTTTACTATATTTTTATATCAACTTTCAATGTTAACAACTTTTCAAAATGGTATACATTAAATGCAATTCAAGCAAAAAAAATCTGTTCTATGCAAATCCAGCCAATCATGTTTATTAATCTAGGTTAGCAAGACATGTCTTAGCAAGATATGTGAATCCTATTGGAATTATGCTTTGTCCAAGACTACAGTTAAAATAAATTAGCAAACGCCATTCCCAAAGTAAGCATTAATTGATTGTGAATATTGCTAAAAGCCACCTCGTTTTGACAGATTTTTGCCGAGTGTTGCAGATATTAAACTTCGATTAGTTTAACTGTTTTTAATGAACTTCCATTATCTTGATTCACACATTACACTAACATATAAATCTCATGATAACTTAGCTCCTTGGACTCCAGATCATAGATTCCCTAAACTCAAATTCCATAATTAATTTTTTGAAGCACAACAAAAAGAGATTTTAAGGGTGGAAGTCCTGAATTTGAATTTCCCACTGCTCCTTTGAAGTTCTCTTGACAACCAGTAGAAAAAGTGATGCTCTCTTCTTTGCCAACATTTCCTAGGAAAGCAGTGCCTTGAGTGTGGGTGAGGACTGTGCAAATTCTAAACAAGAAACTTAGAACACGGAGTTCGGTTTGCTTTGGGGTATAAAAAATAGTGGCCTTACCGCTGAGTTTGTCTCCTTGCAAATCACATTATTTCCTCTTATGCCCACGTCACCCTTTTTCATATCCGACTGAACACCGACACTGATCCTGGCCTTCTATTTAGACAGCAAGGGTTGCTAAGGGGTTGCATTGAATCAATATTTGACAATGGGATCCTGGATTAAGCAGGAAATATTTCTGGCTCTCTCTCATTCAGAAGAGCTGCTGGTGCCAAAGGCTGAGAGCAGTACAGCTTTCTCTTTGTCTCCTTCCTGACACAGCTCCCTTCATTCTGGACCGTCAGAACCAAAATGCAGTGAAATTACCCTAAATATTTCTCTGATCACTTAGATTTTACAGGAAATAAAGCTGAATTTGGATAGCCAAATCATAACTTAGCACAGTGTAGGACCAGGCCATGTTCAGTGTTTAAGTCCCTGGCTCTGATAGTTGGTCAGGAATAGCAGATTTATGAAAGTGGAATCTGGCTTTTTTAACCTTTCCTACTTTCCTTGCTTAATGTCCTCTGTTTCTACTCTGCTGTATATCATTCCTTCATCTCTTATGGTGACCCTAAGTTCTTCCCTGAACGCCTTTCCGAACATTTAGAGAGGCAGAGTTTGTTCCCCATTATTCCTCATTTCTCTCCGGTGTGTCTGTCATTGTTGTGCATGCAGTTGAACTACAAAATCTGCCGGAACCAGCTGGCCTCAACAGCCAAGGGAGCCAGGCTGGCAAGAAGACCAAGGACCACGGACAGCTCCTGTCGCTCAGTGGCTTCTTCTGCTAGGAAGCCTGTTAAAGGAGCAGATCTTGCCTCTGAGGCCCCAGCAGGAGCATCCCTGGAAAGCCTCTCACTTCCTATCCCATAATAGACCAAAGGGTTTTGGCTGCCTGAGTCGATGCTGCATTAACCCCTAAATTGTCTGGTGTGGATCTGGCCTAGCACAAAGCCTGAACTCTGCCACTGTGGCTCGTGGGCAAACCGGAATTAAAAGCAAATCAGTACAAAATGAAAGCGCAGGTTGACTTGAAGGATTCTGTATCACCAAGTAGAATTCAAGCAATTCAGCTAAATATTCAAATGGATAGATGGAATTAACACCATAATAAAATATCATTTAAGCCTGTAAGGAAATACCAGTGTGATCCTCTCATATTCAGGAAGTGGTTGCAGAAAGTAATCGAGGATATTTACCAAAGATTGGATAAAGTGTGAATGAAATTGTGTTAAACTTGATTCTTAAAGGCAAACAGCAGACTAGAGACAAACGAGCAACTAGCAACGGCTTTTAATTATGGATCAAACCTCTCTAACCAGGCGCCCTTCGGATCTGTTGGAGACTCATAATCTCAGCCAGGAGATCAGGTTTAGAAAAGCGGATGGAGGTGGAGGTGCAGAGTGAGATTAAAACAGAAGAGAAGCTAAAAGAAGAGAATGGGATGTAAATGCACACCACTTTGTTAGCCTTTTTGTATTTTTATAGCTATTGAATAATCTGGAATGAGCCAGCCTGTTTTGGAAAATGCAAGGAGGGAGCCAACCCAGTGTTTATTTACAAATCCTATTGACTGGGGTCATCAAGGAGCCATGTTTCCCAAGATCAATGGTATTCACCTCTGCTGGCTTGGTAGGTTGGCATTGATAAATTAATAGCTGGCAGACATAGAGTCTACAGAGGAATTGTAAACATTAGGTCAGATATCGAGAATACAAATGGTTGCAGTAATGTACCCCTTGTTACACCTACAATCAAATTTGTCTATAAGTCACAATAATGAAGAAGTCATGTACTTAGCCATTCCTGTCAGATCCTCCAGTCCTCAGCCACTCATTTTCTCCTATACGACCTCTATGCTTTGACCATAGCTGACTTAATGTCTAACTTGGCAGTTATGAACGCCAGTTCTCACCATCATTAAACTGTTGCTTATTTCTCAAAACGTGGTGCCTGCATTTGTTTTCTGGTCTTTTGGCGGTATGCTCCCTGACTCCAAAGTTTGTGCTGAGCCAAGAATGTTGTACCTAGATGTGTCTGGTTCCACCTCATGCTGAACCTTGATTTTTGCTTAGCCAGGTTCTCTTTAAAACCGTGCATGAGATTTGACCAATATGTTAAATCATAAATTGTGGCTACCAGGTTCCCGGGGTGCAGTAAATTATAGTTCATTGCCTACAGATCCAAATTGCTGAATTTTTTGATGTAACAAGAGAATAAGTTAAAACTAAACAACCCTGTAATCCAGATAACGTACCCTGTGTAAAATATGGAGAAGGAAGAGAAGTTTATCAAAAGAGAAGCCAGAGCATTCACAGCAGGCTCTCTGCCCACCCACTCCAGTGCATGAGGGCATGGTAGACCATGACCAGCTATTGCCCTGAGGTTGCAGATGGAGATCCACAGCAACAGGCTGAGCACTTGGATCGTGCAAAGCATCACCCCATGGCTGCTCCTGAGGTTGGAGTTGCTTCTTTCTAGCCCCCTCCCCTGGCACAGAGGCATGTGAGCTGTCAGAGCTGCTAGAGAGACACAGGAACTGTTTCACAATTGGAACTTATCAGATGAAGCAAAGCAGTTTTTTTTCCCAAAGGGAAGAACAGGCTCAGGTCTGGTTTATTACAAGCAGGCGTGGGACAATTGGATAGCCACATGCTTTTTCCAGGTAATCTGCTCTTTTGGAAGGCAGGGGTGGGGGCGCTTATTTTTAAAGTATTCTCTTGACTAGGAAAACCTTACTGGGGTGGTCTTGTTGGGCAAGAATACTCAGATATTTAATGGATTTCTCTATCTTAGGAAAGAAATATGCTCTAGGGCTCCAGTCTTCACTGTGTGAGTTGACCTTTTTTTTAACCTTGGAGACGAGAAAGGTTGTGCCTGGGCACTTGGCCCCACCAGTGATCAACTCTGATGTTTGCATTCCAGTGTTTAATACTGAGAATATTTTCCATTCAGGAGTTCATGAGCCAACTTGACTGGCCGACAAGAACAATCTTTTTGTGGCTCGCTGACCCTGGTGGCATAAGAGGTCCTAGAAACATTACGGGCTGCCACACGTGAGGAAGGCTGGCCATCTGCATCCCTCCCATTGTTGGACAACAAGCAACAATTTAACTTAAAAGACTTACAAGATAAAGTACTATAGTGCAAATATTAACCGGTATTTTCAAAGGATCTTAATATTTCTACATGAACTGGAGTCTCAGTAGAATAGCTGATAACTGTACCATTCAAAGCACCCTTTAATCAAGCATCAAGTACTTAAACAAAAACCTCAAGCATGTGCTGAGCGATAGACCGTGTGAAGGTGATGTTTGTTTACAGCAAGAACATTTAGTGGAAATATAAATAAGGAGGGTTAGCTGGAGTCTTGGTGTGCTCAGCGTTCCATGATTAGGTTGGTCCCTTATCAACAATGGCCCTGGCTGCCCCCAAGCAGACTTCCCTCCTGCAGAGGGTCAGGCTTGGTTAAATTATTGAAACAGTCTTGAATGACTGTTGGGCCTCCATAGGCAGCAGTGGGAGATAAAGCCAAGAGAGCCAAACAGGCCTTTGGTCAGGGTTGAAGAGGAAAGCCCAGGTCTGAAGCCTAAGAAGCATATCAGGCTCAAGAAGGACGCAACTGCCCAAGAAGCCCTTGGCTGCCCCTTAGACCAGCGTCCTCACCACCTGTCTTCTCACCCAGGTGTCTACAGGCCACTTCACGGTTAACTGAGATGGTCTGCATTTTCCATGTGTGCAGTTATGGTGCTCATGTACGTCAAATCAGGGACAACCTGGAGAAAGGATCAGTGAGACTGTCTGATTCCTAACTGGGCACATTTGCCCAGCAGATGCTCCTCAGAGACGCCGCTGGCTGGGATTTGTAGGATCTGACGGGTCTGGAGGGCAGCAGCTGCGGAGGGCGTTGTAGGCAGTGGAAACTGAGCATGCCAACCCAGCGTTTCTGACTTCATCTGCTTCGGATGAACCTGTGAACTCGGCGTTGTAACATCTCCCTGCCAAACTCAGTTAAGTAGTCAGCCGGTCCCAGAGGCCGGAGTAATTAAATTTCTGCAAGGGATACGTGCGGGATTAGCATAAGCCAGTGCAGCCATTTTGACTATTCACATGAACGCAACCCCCGTCTTATCTCAGCGTTCCGCCTGCCAGGCTCTCGGCTACAGCAGCCAGCAGTGCCTGGCATAATTATATTAAGTGGAAACACAAAGAATCAAGCTAGATTAGGCATCACTTGAATAGTTCACATGCAGATCTCTTGGGCAACCTAGGAGGAGGTTTTTTTTTCCACTCGGATCTTATCGGCCAAGCTTTCCATTTATTTAATATATCTGTGTTATGAGTTCATTATTGAGAAATGCAAATGTCCACTTCTGGAAAGAGCGTCTTTGTTTTCCTCCCCCGCCTTCCTGAAATTTAATGAGGATCAGAGGGTTGAAAGAGTCACA